TACACACAAGAGCTAGTGAGATTATAAATAAGTGCTTTTTATCAACATTTAGAAATAATGTCTGTCCGCTCTCACAACAACAATACAAAGTTTAGGCTAATTGATCAACATTTCCAATTTCAATAGGTTGACATCATTCAGCCAATTAACCAGTGCATATTGCAATCTAAATATTTAGTCACACATTTTACCGAATAATATGTAGGTTCTTAATTGTTTAAAAATGATTACTTTAACTAAAATTTATGCTGTCTATTTTAAACAGGATTTTTTGTGTACTCTCTATAAACAAGAAAATAATGAATGAGTTTCATATATTGCTAATTTCACTTGATAGTGATAAATATTTTAAAGGAATTTCTTATTTTATTAGTAAGTTACTTTATATACTCAACTATTTACTTATACCAAATTCAAAGTAATCCCCGTTTATATGAACACGTTTGTTTACACAATATTTATTGTCTTTCATCACTAATGAATTTTGTCTACAAAATGTTGATGCAATGTCTGAGTCTTCCATCACTTATATGAAATATACGTACAGTCGACCCCCCCTATAAGATATAGATACGTTCCAATTTACTAGGAATCCGATTTCTTACATGTCGTTCTAATCACAGCCCGACACGTGTCAAGTTTACGGACTACGGCNGCCCGGTTTTTAGAAGGGCCCGGTCAAACTGTCTATTTTGAAAAGATTTGTAAATAAGATAGATTACTCTTCTGTTGGACAACTGTATAATACTGGTAAAATATTATATTATTTAAATATTAACCAAAAAGGCTAAATTAAACAAGTAAAACGGCAAAACCGTATTTGGGTCACGACTATGTCTCAGAGACACTACTAAGCGACATCACTTTGACGCTCAAAGCGGATCTCTTTCTCATTCTCCAATCTTCTTTGGTATCGCTGCTTTTGGGCGCTATCGTTCAAACTTCGCCAGCCACAACCACGAGGTCGTCCACCATGCATTTTCGATGAAATTAACCTATCCATTTTCGAAATTTTTCTCCGTTGCGTGTCGGCCCGGGTTGAATTTTTGTCGATGCCTAACGAAAATTTCTCGTCTTTGAAAAAATAATCGTGGCTATTGTATCATCCGAAATAATTTTTTTTATTTTGCACAAACAATATACAGTTTAACCTGATTATAACGTCAAATTTTTACTGGTCCCACGATTTTACTATACTAGACAATGTTAAAAAACCTACTTGTAACGACATAAAACTCTGTTTTAATGTCATATTTGAAGCACTCCCAAATTTACAAAATTAGATTACAAATTTTATTTAAGAAAGAAAATACTACCTGTTCAGTCCTATGGTCAGAGTCCATTTCCTTGAACGACTGTGGGTGGTACTCTCTCCACCTGACTTCGGTTTGCCTGTTTGTAGATAGAGTCGCCATTTTGTATTTTACTTTCACTCGGTTCTCGGTCCCGAGTACCTACAAGTCAGGTTTTTTTATGCGCGCATGATTTGGGCACTTAATACTCTGTGCCAAATTGCAATTCCTGACATGTACTCCTTCATACCTCTAAGCTGGTAACACAGCAAGCAGTACGATTTTATAAACAAGACATAGTCTTGTTGACAATTATTTTTTTTAAGGTAATATTGTTATTTTACAACAACTTTTGTTAGACATTTAATAAAACAAATTTCAATATTTTAAATTTATAAACAAACTGTTCAAACTTTTCTAGAAAAACTAAAATTTATTGTTGTGTATTAAATATTTTTTATTAATAAAAATTTAAGATTTGTTTTAGTTTTTCACATTATTTAGTTTTGTTTTATTTATTGTTTTATATTTTTTGTGTGCTCTATTTCTTGTG